CTTCCCTGTGAATACAAAAATAAACGTAGCGGTTGGTGATCTACAGTGTTGTCATTCTTTCTTTGAACAGCAAGACCGCTAACACCCTACTTCAACAATCAACTCGCCTGTCATTACATCATTTATAGATATGTTTAGCTCTTCACTCTTGCTGTGGCCGCACTGATGTAACGATCGGTAACCTGAAAGGACTTGCTTGCCAAATGTAAACATTCAGCACGTGACTTGCAAACTCTCGCGAGAGTTTTACACTAGAAGGATCCTATTCTATGCCCATAACCGCTCTGTGCCTCCTGGTCCATCATTAATGGACGTCTCTTTTAAATGACCTCTCAGGGATGAGAGTGAGTTTCATTTCTCTAACCGCCTGCTGCTTCCCTCCTCTTCTCCCTCAGTTCCCCTCCTCGGCTCCTCCGCTCTGCATCTCCTGTGGGCGGACTAAGTCTCGAGGATAGGAGGCGAGGAGGGGGAATCGAGGAGGGGGTTTAGGAAAATGAGGAAGGGCCACAGACATCACACACGCACATACCTTATCCAAAGACAGCATCCTCCGTAGCAGCAAGGTTAGTGCAGCTGTCATGCTAGCAGTGCCATTTTGGTGTCAAAAGCTGTTTTGGTTTCGTTGTGAGAACACGACGGTGGACCCCAGGTAGCAAAACTAGCCAGGCTTGTAGACCCCGGTCGGCGGCAGTGGCCTTTTTGGCGGCAATGGTATCGTCCTGCTAAGCTAAGTACTCTGGTAGTATGTATTGTTACTTGTCATATATTTGAATGTCTGTTGATAAAACGGTTATTCTTCAGGCGCTAGCGCAGGCACGTTCACGCCTCACAGGCATAGAATCGCAATATCTTATTGCGCACCTTAGGCGCTGAAGTGCAGGCACTAATGTCATTCAAAGAGACGAATACAATACGTAGGTTATTTGGAAACCATTTGTTTTGGTTTGCCTATTTACTCGTTAACCGTAAATAATACTCATTACATTGAAAAATGCATTAATTTGTGATCAAAATAATGGTGTCTGGTAATGTATACTTAGCAACCCCCACAGATGTTTGATTTCACTGGGTCCGTGGGAGATCAGGCCCCCTCCCTATGGGAGCTCAGCCTCCTCCTTATGGGGAGCTCAGCCTCCCATTGGCTCCACGTAACTCGAACCCTGCCTTTCCTCCTGTAAATTGAACTTGATCGCTTTAAACTCCCACACTGAGCACCTGATTGGTCAGCAGGCAGTTTTTCCCACTGAGTTGAAGGCTCTTAGCCTGCAACCCTAACCTGGTCCCGACAGGTTAGCCGCAACAGCATAAGTTACCATGGATGATCTAGCCTGCCTAAAAAGAGAACCAGCTTCGTAGGACCGGAAACCAGAGTTTTCCCTGAAGTTAGCCCGGCTAAGCGAAAATCCTGCTTCGGTAGTATACCCCCTGTTATATTAAGTTATAATAAACACAAAAGAATGAGTGTCACAACATCTCAGCAGGTCATTGACACATCACGTAAACAGGTCTCTGTTTTTAGAGAAAGATGAGAAAATAAAAACAAGAGAAAGAGAAGAGAGGAAAACCGAAGAGAAAGTGCACTTTAGCTGCACCATCGAAGTGGATCAACATCTACGCATTGCAGCAGCTCATCTCTGGGATGTTCATCACCCAGGAGAGTTTGAGTAGACATGAAGTTGCCCACATTGCCATCAACAACAATGCAGAGGGTGCCGGGTAGAGGAGAAAGTACTTATGTTGAGTTCACGAGAGCTTTGCGTTGAC